CGCCCACACCCCCACACACACACCCCTCACCAAATCCCAACAACTCACAACGCCCCTCGCGTCCACCGCAAGCGCATGCACCCGGTCGCTCAGCAGCGCGGCGCGCACCAGCCCCGTCCCGCCCGTAATCACAAAGTCCGGCGCGCTCTCCAGCGGAACCGCGTCGGGCAGCTCGTCGCGGTCTTCCCAGTCCGCGCGCGGCGTCTTGGGCGGCATACCCTCGGCAAACTCGTCGTGCGTGATCTCGCTCGCGACCGGGCTGGCCGCTCTCCCCCCTCCGCCTCCTCCTCCTCCGCCGCCGCCGTAATACGCCTTATTATTATTCGCGGCGTTGGCGTTGTTGTTGTTGTTGGGTGAAGAAAGCGACAGAGAAGGGAATATACTCCCCAGTCTATGCGCCGGCACAGAGTGGACGGACGCCGCGCTGTACAGCGTCGCGACGTCCGTGTCCCGTCTCCCCAGGCCGGGCGAGAACGACATCCCGAACGGGTCGTGCGGCCCTGAGAGGCGCACGAGGGATTCGAAGGGGAGGCCGTAGGACGTGCTTATGCCCTCGTCGTCATCCCCTCGTAACTCGTTCCCGACTGCATGCCCGGGCGGGGGCGGGAGGGACAGGCTGTGGCTGTGTCTTCCGCGTAATGAGGACGGGGGGTGCGGGAGGGGGAGGGGCGGGACGTCGACTGTTAGCGCGCGGCGCGGGCCGCGGCGCGTCATCGTTGGCTCGTCGTTGGCGTTGGCGGGCGAGGGGAGGCCGTCGACGGGGCTGTTGAGGAGGTTCGTCGACATCGCCGCCGCGCGCTCGACGCGTCTCTTCGGCGCGCGCCACCTCTTCACGCTGCTGCTCCCGCTCGCAGCCCACACCAGCCCGTCGCCCGTACTAACGATCTTGTCGATCCCCGCCTCCTGCGCCCTCCCTCCCTGCCCATGACCGTGCCCGTCGTGGGCGACGGCCAAAGCGATACACTCCGCGTCGGCCATATCGGTGCACCCCTCCGCGTCGACGCGCGCCAGCTGGCCCGACTTGTCGCCGGAGTAGAATATTTGGAGCGAGGGGTGCGTGGAGTGCAGCGACCAGACGCTGTCGGTGTGGTGCGTGAAGGTGTGGAGGCAGCGTTGGGAGGTGAGGGACCAGAGCTTGATCGAGGCGTCCGCTGAGGCTGTTAGTAGCTACATCACACAACATCAGTATTTAGCTCATCCTCAACAATGGGAGGAAGTGTAGGACTCACGTAGCGCGAGTCGTCCGAGACGAGGATAGACCGAATGTTATCGGTATGGCCCACCAGCTTTCCAATGCGCTTGCCCGCGCGCGGATCCCACATCCTGATCACCCTCTCCGGCCCGCCCGAGACGAGCGTATGGCCCAGCGGGTCAACAGCCAGCGCATAAACGCTCGCTTTCGGCCCCGCGCTCTCCGGCGGGTTCAGTGTCAGTAGCGCCTGTCCGCCTCCACTGCCGGCGGTAGAAGAAGCGCCAGGCGAGGAAGCGCGCGATAGATCCCACAGCTTGATCGTCCTGTCGAACGAGCCGGACGCGACCCACGTGTGTGCGCGGGGAAGGGCAAGACAGCGCGCGTAGTCCGTGTGCATGCCCAAGAGCTGCGGGTCGGACACGGGCGAGGCGTGCGGGTGCCATAGCTTGACTGTCCCGTCCGAGGAGGCGGACACCAGAATGCGGGCGTCGGGCGTGAGCAATATATCGTTGACCCAGTCCGTGTGCGCTTGGGTCGACTGTCTGAACGTCGAGGGCTGCATACACACACTTCATTAGCACACACGATATACAATATAATACGGATAGTGGATGAAGCGCGTACGGTACCATGCACAAAGCTCTCCGCATCGAGCTCCCACGTCTCGTCCCCACCCGCAACCGGCGACCCAGGCGTGCTCCCCCTCCGCCTCCTCGCGCTCCCCTTCACATCGCCCAAAATATCGCCATCGCTCGGCGCCGCGCTCTGCTCCCTATCCTCCTCGTCCAGCTCGTCCCCCCACCCCGTCATATACTCCCACCTCGAGTACTGCGACACCACCGGCGCGCGCCGCGGCCGGCTGCGCAGCGGCAGGCCCAAGTCCCACGCGATGAGCTGCCCGTCGCGCCCGCCGGTGTACAGGATGCCCTCGGGCGCGGGGCGTGAGAGGAGCGGCGTGGACGTGTCGAGCGCGAGGCACGAGACGGGCAGGCGGTGCTGCGGGAAGCGCGAGGGCGCGGGGAGCGCGGAGGGCGTGGCGAGGTCGGGCTGCGCGGTGAGGAGGG